AATCTTTAAAAAAAAAAATAAAAATAAATAAAAGACAAAACTAGTACTCCTGGATTTAAGTTGAATGATTTCAGAGTTTTGTCTAGTGTGGTAAGGGACTTTCCAGCAACTGTGGCACTCCAACAGGGCTCAGGCTGTCTTAGGATAACCTGAGATCCCTGTGCAAGAAGCCTTGAAGACGAACTGGAGGCCTGCTTGTGAGGGATGTTTTAAAAATAAATAGCTGACTTTGGGGGAGGAATTCCACTTGCTGTCTCCTGGGAATCTGTGATTTAGGCCACTTGAAGAATTTTCTGTTTTCTTCCTAATTGTTGGAGACACTGCTAGATAAGAAACTATCTTTGCCCATGGGAATAAGGATAATAGTCATTGTTTTACATGGATGATCCCATTTCTTCGATGCCCACTCAACAAAATGGGTATCTTTGGCACAATTAAGACCATGAAGCTGAGCATCACTTTCCGTCCCCCTTCTCCATATTTGGTCCTGTTGCTAAGTCCTTTCAAATCCTGTAGTTTGTATTATAGATTCCCAAATTTTGACTGCTCCTGCCAAGAGTAACTTCAGATTTCATTAGATCATGTCCTCATATGTCAGTATGAACCATTTTTTTAAAAGAATTTGAGCAGAAACAGTTCACAGTTTGTGTTATAATGAACATCTTTTTTTTTCTAATCAAAGTCCTAGATTCTCCTCCTTTGTATTATTGTTACTTAGGTACTTTGGCATAATAAAAAATGTGATGCTTTATGGATCATTTCCAATCCCTGATGACATTTGAAGCTTTCTTTTTGCAGTTTATTTTTAATAAACTTTTTTTTTTACCGTATTTATGCAACATTGGAGGTATTTTGCTAATAATGTCCCATAGTAACTTTCCAGTTGTTAAAAAAAAAAAAATCTGGTGATCTTGTTAAACTGTGTATTTGTACGTGGAATAATCTGGTGGAGCGAAAAAATTAGGAGCGTGTATACTGTTATTTTTAGTACTCTGTATCATTTCACCCTTTTTGTCACAGTGGTTCCTGGCTAACTTTCCCATGAGTTTTTAACCTCTTGTGAGGCTTTGCTTATGTAACAGGAAACAGGCTGTCAGGAACAAATACTGGCATATCAGAAGCACACTTCAGTCGCAAATGATTCAGTTTGCTCTGCCCTTCTCTCTCTTAAAGTGGACCGATACATGATCTTAACTTTAAGACTTGTGGTGTGACCTTCCTAGGTTAAAATCATTCAATTTCAGTTTTGGAAAGGCAACATATTTGACCAAGACCAGGCATTAATCCAGGCAACAGAGAAGATGAGCTCATCATAAGGCGAATTTTGCAGTGGTGTCATGTCCTGGGACTGCGGATTTAAGTATATCTTCGCTTTTTCCCCAACTCTTAAGGCAGGAGTGATGTGCAAACTTCAGGAGAGAGATGACATCGGACGAATTGAACTGGTCCAGAAGCTGGCGAGAGAAAACTGTCAGTTTCTACAGACAGACAAAAAAGAACAGGAGAAATCTGAACACGTAAGCCCTTTTTCTCTTGGGGACGCAGGTTTAAAGGGGGTGGAAAATGTTTCCGCCTGGTTGTATGTTTGAAGGAAAAGATATTTTAAATTCTTTAGTTTTGTTTTTTCCCCCAAAAATCATCCTCCTTAGTAAAAATAACAGCTGCTCATAACTCCAAGCCAGCCATTTACAACACTGGATTTATAAGAGAACTCTCCTCAAAAGTAAATCTTGTAGAAATAGAAGAATACATGTAAGCAAATCTATGAATGCTTGTCTATGATTTTGATTTGGTGGCTTTCAAGTTTGACTTTGGGAATTTGACCACATCAGATAGTTTGTGGAATATGAATTTTGAAAGAACATTCTGATGTACTTTTATGTTGAGTATGGCGTGGCTCTGGTTACCAAACAAATGTACCCTGAGTCAGTAGAAAAAGGTAAGAGTAGAGTAACAGATTATAGATGCTTTCACCAAGTGGGAGAGTCAGAAGGGAGTTTTCCCAGTATCTTATGAATGTTTGTGTTCCAACAAAAGTTCTATTGTTTGCATGGAGTTAAACTGGAGGAAAGGGACGCTCTGCTCAATTCTCCTGAAAGCAGTAATTCAGATCGAGCCTTAGAACTGAGAATGTTGCCCTCATGCTGGGGGTACAATGGCACCACTTTCTTTGTTGTCTGACTTTTTGGGGTTGTTTGTAAAACTACACTCTCAGTGCTCAACTATCCAGGGTTGCTCACGAAGGGGAAAATTCTTCAGTGCTTATAAACATGTCTTTCTCTGACTTTAATTTTTCCTTGGAATTTTAGATCCAACCCCTTCCAAAGGGGAAAAATTGCCTCATGATTTTTCTGCCCTAAGGCCCAATACAAACACCAGGGTTTTACTGAGCAGGAGGGGAGGTAAGATGTTCAAGGGGGCAGGCTGTTTAGTTGAACATAACATGTCTCTCACAGTGCAACATCGGATGATAATAATTGGTGTCTCAAGGGGGAGAATAATCAAGCAGTTTCAAAGCCTTGCAACTGAGCTGTTTCAGGGGTGACCATTGACTTTAAGTGAGAGTGGACATCTTAGGAGCCTTCACTTCACTAGGTACTATTGAAAATTCCAGGGACTTGTTTAAATTGTTAAAAGCACCCTGACGGTTGACTGTATCAAAGACTGACTCTTAATCTCTGCCATGTCCTTAGAATATTTGAGTATCCTAATGTGTGACTTAAGTTTCTCAAAACAGTGTTCCTTTTGGTTCATTTTAATTAGAAGAGCAACAGTTTTCATATGCCATATTTTGTTGATTTCTTTTTTTTTTTTTAAGATTTTATTTATTTATTTGAGAGAGAGAGAAAGTACATGAGAGGGGGGAGGGTCAGAGGGAGAAGCAGACTCCCTGACGAGCAAGGAGCCCGATGCGGGACTCGATCCAGGGACTCCAGGATCATGACCTGAGCCGAAGGCAGTCGCTTAACCAACTGAGCCATCCAGGCGCCCTATTTTGTTGATTTCAAAATGCATATTTCCCCCACATTTTAGCATCTCAGAAATCAGAGTAAGTCTTAATGATTGATGATAGGAAAACACATCATAGTTTAACTGTGAGCACTTTTCTTTCCTAGTGGTCCTTAAAATGAATGATATATTTTACAATGAATTGCATATTCAATTTAGTGGACCAGTGACAGCCTGAGGGTAGGGCAAGATCTTTCAAAGCCAAACCAATAGTAGAGTACCAGTTCACCAAGGCTAGAAATCATCGGCCTTAGGCCACAGACAACTTTAGGCTTATTTTAAAAGATATCAGTATTGCCTTTGCCTTGTATTTAGTTCAATCCGGAATATTATAGGTAAAGCTAATGAGACTATCGTACCCCCCCCCAAATATATATTAGAAATCCAAACTTGGTGCTGGTAATTGTAAACACTTCTAACATGAGGCAGAAATTTAGTGGTAGAAGATTTACAGCTTTGCTTATGGTTATCTACTGTTGCTATGTACTATCCCTACGGTTATCTAAAATGAAGGTTTAGTCCTTCATTTGAAGACTGTAAAATAGAACACTAGGGTTTGTTACTTCTTGCATGAATGTCATGATGTGAATGCATTAGCAGCTCTGACAGTGTTTATGCTCCTGAGAGGAAAGATGGTGTATAAATCAGCATTGGAATTATGACATTTGCTACATAGACTTTTCCTCCTGAAGCTTAGAGTAAGGAGAGGTGAATATTCAGGCTCTTTCTTCCTTAGTGATGAATATAATCTCAGCCATTCTGCCATGTCCCTCCTGCAGGATGACAGCAGTTGAACTGATCAGCTCTTGAGACTGATACTGATATCGTGTTCCACTCTCTGGATTATTTGATACTAGATGTTTACACTTATTGCAATAATGTATTAGGAACAAAAACCATCTGGTAGATTATCTGACTCATTTAGGTCTTGAGCATTTGATGTAGCTCCACCTTTGCTTACCCACGGAGTTTACCGTGTTCATGAGGTGGGTACAGCGTTTGCCTCTTTCCTGCCCTCGCTCTCTTTTCAGTGGTAGTCATCTGCTCTGGCTCATGAAAACTCAAGTTATAATGCGCAGGATGTACAGAGGAAACTGCAGTTTACCTAATGTAAACCCAGGCCCGCAGTTTCTTCTTGTAATAACAGTACCAATAATGACCAAACCCCAGAGTTACATACAGATTTCCTTTCTTTGATGATTTTAAAATGCTTCATCTACCTCCTCTGCCATTCCTGGGCCAAAGGTATTTAAATAGACTGGTAAAATTTGAGTTAGAGTCTAAGTTACCCATTGAGTTTTTGTTTTTGTTTTTTTAAACTAAACTACATTGCTTCTCCAGTTCTAGAATACCACATCCCTTTAAATATGTATGTGCCAAAATGAGAAATCTGCTTTAAAGTACTACTGAATAGAAAAAGAATAAAGCTTTTGTTGCTGGTGCATCTTGTTACAAATAGAAGGAGCTTCAAGCTTTCTGAGTAGGCATTTCTCATATTTTCTCAAACTGGTCAAGACCATGATTATAAATGCAGCCAATGAGAGACACACTTCACTCTGAGCTTTTGCCCAGATATTTCTGAAAGAAAAATATTTATATGTATAATTACCACAAGTTTCTCAGGAAGCACTTGGTTGTATTATTTTACATTAACAAGCTGTCGGCAAAATTAGCCAACACTCATTACTAAGTGTTGAAAATCATTATGTGAGAACTTTAGGAAGGGGACAGAAATTGGTTATTTCTTCTAAACATTATGATAGTGGGATTAAAATTTGGTCATTAACTCTTTAAAGTAATTACTTCTTTTGTAGGCATCACATTTCCTAGTCTTAATCTAATTGTATTAATAGGGGAAAGGGCATGTGTTACCAAATGGGGACTTTCAGCTTGACCTGGAAGGCTGACTAATGGCCCCCGCAGGGTGGGACAGGGCAGAGCCTGGAAGACAGAGGGACTAGCAAGAATGCACATGACTTGAGCACTGGGTGATTCATGGGGAATAAAGGGGAGTGGGTTGTGACGGAGGTTACCGTTCAGCTGCATAAGACCTGGTAAGCCACTGTAAGGAGTTTAGACTTGCCTTTCTGGCAAAGGAAAGCCATCAAAGAAGGGAAGTAGCACAATCAGACGGAGTCTTTGTAAGATCTCTTTGGCATTGGCTTAGAGGAAGAAATGAGTGGAAAAGAGGAAAGTGTTAGAGCGAACCCTTGGAAGACTATTGTAGTGAGTCAGGTGAAAGATGAAAGCCTGAACCAGTGTGGTAAGGCTGTAGATGTAGATCATAGATGGCAAAATCGGCAGGATTTGATGACTGGTAACAAGGAGGTGGGAATGTGTGTTATTTTCTATTAAATGGTAGACATAAGAATGTTATGTTTAGCAATAGAGGGGTTGGTCCCCTTTACCAAAAAGCTACAAGACATTTACCTTGCTTTTGTGTTCCTGCAGTATGTTTTAGGTATCTGAGATACATGCTAAAGCGCACAGTGTTTATCTCATTGGCAAATTGTGAGGTGGGGGTTCTGGCTAGCATGGGAACTACATAAACCATCTTCTCAGACCAGACCTTTTGAAAATACCTTGGGCAGACAGAATCTCTGGTAGCCCCCAAATGAACTGGATTATTTAGCCAAAGCTTTGGCATTTGCTGCAATGATGTGTGTGCCTTCTTCAGAATTAACTGTGATTTCAGGAATGCTCTCTTGACCCATATAGTCTGAATTGGTATTACCATGCTGTTATTTTAGAGTATTCTCGGTTATTTATTCATTGAGTATACCTTTAGTAAAGCCAATGTCATGGGGGATTCAGAATAACTATGTGGCAGCTACCCTGAAGAAGTATAGTCATGTTGTGGAAAGAAGACATTGACTCAGATAACTGAGATACAAGGAGACAGTATTGGTAATCCCCAGAGATATACAGAGATGGTAGAAGAAGAATTTCCACCTGGGGAAACAGGATTCTCTCTTACGGCAGAGGTAAAGTTTGATGTGGACCTTAAAGTAGGTTTGGGTTGAATTAAACGATTCAAATTAAAGAAAAGCATTGCTAGCAGGCAGAACAGCATTAGAAAATGCACAGAGCTGTCAAAGTACAAGATCTTTTTTTTGTGTTTTTTTTTTAAAGATTTTTATTTATTTGACAGAGAGAGACACAGCGAGAGAGGGAACACAAGCAGGGGGAGTGGGAGAGGGAGAAGCAGGCTTCCCACGGAGCAGGGAGCCTGATACGGGGCTTGATCCCAGGACCCTGGGATCATGACCTGAGCCAAAGGCAGACACTTAATGACTGAGCCACCAGGCGCCCCAGTACAAGGTGTTTTTGAACATCAGAAGCCATTCTGTGTCACCAGCGTACTACAAGTGGGGCCAAGGGGCAAGCTGATGATATTGGGACCCAGACCATGGAGGATTTTGAGGGCTGAAAAGTTTTACTTCATTCTAGGTGTAAGGAGAAATCATTGATGACTTGGTTTTGTTAGTTTTCCTAGAAAAGGAGGAAG